AAAATGTGAGGGGTGTACTCACTTCTGTGAGATACTGTATGTAAACAACGTATGTACGTGGATATGTTGTTTACGTTCAGATCAAAGCGTAAACAACATAAACAGTGTATCTGCGTACAGATGTTGCATACGTTGTTTACGTATGTGATACTCTCCAAAATGGCGCTATAGGGTGACGTGGAAGAGACGAATTGTTGAATAAAGTCATTATTTTTGTTTTCTTTGCGCACAAAAAGTATTCTCGTAGCTTCGTAAAATTACGGTTGAACCACTGATGTCACATGGATTATTTTAAAGGGGTCATATGATGTTGCTGACACTATGGACACGGTCCGTGTCACTAGTTAAAACTGCTTATTTCTCTGGATTTAAACATTCTTCGAAACATTTGGGATAATGCAAGTACACAAGTCAGCAAAATATATAACGCTCTTCTAGTGATGTTTTGATATTTTAATTAAAAAAATCGTACATATTGCACCTTTAATTCACAAAAAATGTTAGCCCACCTTGTACATGGCGTAAGCGGTCAGTGCGTAGCCGCTCTGAGAATTCTCCAGGAGTTTCACCACCTTGTCAGGAAACCCAACATACTCAAGAAATGGCACCAGATTGACTCCTCTACAAACGAAAGCAAGAGAGGGAGCATAAAAAGACATTTCACATAAAAGCCTACATTTTCCTAAGAGATAGTTGTCCAAATATGAACATTCAGTCATCATTTTTTCACCCTCATATCAGTCCAAACGTAAATGACTTTCTTCACAATATCTTCTTTTGTGTTCCACAGAGAAACGAATGTTGGTAACCAAACACTTTTGGTTAAACAAACATTTACTTCTATTGCATAGACAAAAAAAATTATAATTTTATGTTCCACAGAAAGTTTGAAAAGGCTTGAGGGTGAGTAAAATGATGACTGAATTTTCTTATTTGGGTGAACTATCCTTTTAAGAATAAAAAGATTCTTAAGACAATTTGTTAATATAAAATAGCACATCAATGTAATGAATGGAACTTTATGAAAAGTGATTAGGGATGGTCGCCATAAAATCCTGAATTTTATTTAGTCTTTTAGTAATATTTGTTATACTGAGCAGTGTATTTTTAGCATTACTGTATTTATATACATTATAGTTTTTATTAATTTTTATTTTATTTTATTTATTTTTAACAGCTTTTATTTTTTTATTTTAAGTGCATTTTTATTTTTTTATTTTTTTCTAATTACTATTTAGGTTTCATTTACTTTTATTTCAGTTTTTGTTTAATTTTAGATGAATAATTTTAGTGCTTTAACTTGAATGAGAAATGGTGCGTACATTTTTCACTTAACATCTATATTTTATTTTATCTTTCTTTCAATTAACAAAAATGTTTTAATAGTTTTAGTTAATGATAATAACTGACACTGAGGTTTTAACAGGGCCAAGTATTTAAAGCATTTTTTAAAAAACGTAAAAATCCACTTTTTTATTTTAAAAAGACATTGAAATATCTACTTTAAAATGTAATACTTAACATAAGAATCAAATGTTCAATTTAGACAGAATGGACATCTTTAATATGAGCTAAAGGCTGTGAAGAGTGGTGATGAAGGCAAACTGATAACCCTGGTCTTGTCTTCTCTGCAGAGTGAGGTCATGCTGAATGAAACAGCTCGTTCTCAAGCATCCATTACCACCTCCCACATTTCTCAAACGTCTAGACAGTGGTGACCCACATTCAGCCAGATGTGAGGCAGAGTAAACATTTCAGTGTGCCATTTACCTCAATCCACCACATGCCAAACACACTCGATGAGCGAGCAGAAAGAAAATTACCTACCTACCTACCTGACCCCACACACACACACACACACACACACAAAACGCGCGCACACACACACACACACACACACACACGCACACAAACACACACACACACACACACACAAACACACACACTAGGCTTGCAATGATAGACGGTGCTGACGGAGATACGGTGTTAAGCCGCAACACCGGTTACGTCACTTGCCCACCCACTGACCCCCACCGTCGTTTAGATTTTTTTATAGTAATAAAAATCATTTAGTTCAGTAAAAGAACAGACACTACAATTAAAAACTGAACGCGGCTGCTCAATGCAGCGTGCCGAATGACAGTCGCATCACAAATCAGATTTCAGAATTCGAGCTGACTGACAACAAGAGTGAGGTGAGGTGATGATTTAGTTTAGAAACGTTTGGCAATATTTTGGATTTTGAAAAGCCTGTTGCCGTTTATCTAAGGTGATTTTGGAAGTTTTTTTTAAACATTCGTTTCTTATTTAATTTAAACTTTGTGTCATTTATTTATTTTATTTGACATCAAGGTGTATGCCGTGCCTCCAAACTTTTTTACTCGTTTTGCTAATAAACGTTCTATATTTCTTATTTATTTGGTTATATATTATACATGTTGACTTATTTCCAGTTTTGTATACCTATTTAAACTTTATGCAAGTTATTTGTTATTTTATATTAGGCATAGCCTGCCCTATAGCATGATGTATTTTTATTTGTTTTGTTAATAAAAGTTCTATGTTTTATATATAGGCTAAAGTGAGTTTGACGTTGTATTTTGTTGTTGCATTCAGCCGAACTGCCG